GTGACGGGCTCCCAGGGCTGCCTCCCCGCCGAATCATGCCAGCCGGTTCACCCTCCCCAGGGAGGAAGTTGTAGGGCGGCGGCAGGGGGTGGGGGGGACACCCCAGCTGCTTTTGGGAAGCTACCCCAGGCCCTTCTTGCAAGGGGTGTCTCTGGGGTGGGGGGCTGCCATGCAGCCTGGGCTTCGGGGTGGGGGGCGCACTGCCCGCCTCCCTCGCCTCCTCCCCACGGCCCCCGAGCAGAGAAGGTTACGCCAGCCACTGCCAGTGGAGAGCCGGGAGGCGGTGGTTCTGACTCATCCCGGCCTGTGTCACTTCTCAGAAACCTCCGCCCCCCCATCCCGGCCCCTGGGGAGAGCTTGGTGCTGGCCAAGCCCCAGAGGAGGGCCAAGTGCAGCTTGGGGTCAGATGCACCCCCTCCCCCGCTGTGAAGGGAGAGCCAGATTTGACGGTTCACGTCTGTGTGGGCCGTGTCCAGGCCCCAGGGGACCAGTCAGGGCCCCCCCTCCTGCAGTGGCCGAGCCTCCCCCTCAGCCTCCGCCCCGCCCAGGACAGATAAATATTTATCTTGAGAAAGCAAAGGTTAGGAGGAAGAATTTGTCCAGGAATTCCACCCACTCGCGGCCCGGGTGGCTTCACTGGGAGGGGGCTGAGCTAGATCCCCCTCCCATATTCACAGGCAGGCAGATTGGGGGCCATGGGAGTGGGGGAAGGTGCGAGGTGAGGGTTATTAGAGGGCAGTGACCGATGGCTGGGCCCCGCCCCCTCTGGCCTCAGTTTCCCCTTGAAAGAACCAAGCTGGCCAGGGAGGGCTAGGCCCCCCGTCTGACCCGCCTCTGTCCCCCACAGCCCCCAGCGGCGCCCGGGCCGGGCCGGGCTGGCGGAGGCGGCTTCCGGAAATATCGATTCATTTTATTTAAGCGTCCGTGGCACCGACAGGGACCCCAGAGCCCAGAGCGGGGCGGCGAGAGGCCCCAGGTCACACAGCGCGGGGGGCCGGGCAGGGCCGGGCTGGGGGCGCCGCGGGCTGGGGCCCCGGGGCTGACGGCCGCTCTCTGCAGGTCAGTGACTTCCTGTCGGGCCGCTCGCCGCTGACCCTGGCGCTGCGTGTGGGTGACCACATGATGTTCGTCCAGCTGCAGCTTGCCGCCCAGCACGCCCCGCTGCAACACCGCCACGTACTGGCCGCCGCTGCAGCCGCCGCCCGCGGGGACCCCAGCATCGCGGCCCCCGTGCCCTCTCCCTGCCGGCCAGTGTCCAGTGCCGCCCGCATCCCCCCGGTGCCCACCAGCCCTGCCCCTGCGTCCCCCTCGCCTGTCACAGCTGGCTCCTTCCGATCCCACTCGCCCTCCGCTGCCTGCCCTGAGGTGAGCCAGAACCCGGAGGGCCGGGACCCGGCCGCTGGCGGGTCCACCCCGGACCCTGATCTCAGGCTGTCCTCGAACCCCCAGCTCACGGACCCCTTCCTCTCCTCAGCAGATGGACTGTTCCCCTCCCGCCAGCGCCAGCCCCACATCCACCCCCGGGGGCAGCCCCGCCTCCCGCTCACGCAAGCCGGGCGCTGTCATCGAGAGCTTCGTGAACCACGCCCCCGGGGTCTTCTCCGGAACCTTCTCTGGTAGGTGTCCCAGCCCCCAGGCGTCCCTGTGAGCTGTCACGTGTACACATCAGGGGGGTCACAGCCTCCCCAGTCCTGTCCTGGGGTCTCCGTGCACACGCGTGACTGCATGGCAGGCCACGTGCCTGGGTGAGAGTCCCCGCGTTGTCCGTCACTCGCTCCCATCCTGGGGTCCCGCTGTGCACATGGACGGCGTGCACTTCTGGCCCCGGTGTCCCCCGCTCGGGTGCTCACTGGCACCCCCCACGCCCCCCACAGGCACGCTGCACCCCAACTGCCAGGACAGCAGCGGGCGGCCGCGACGCGACATCGGCACCATCCTGCAGATCCTCAACGACCTCCTGAGCGCCACACGGCACTACCAGGGCATGCCCCCGTCGCTGAGCCAGTTGCGCTGCCACGCCCAGTGCGCGCCCGCCTCGCCCGCCCCAGACCTCGCCCCCAAAACTACCTCCTGCGAGAAGCTGGCGGCCACGGCCCCGGCCTCCCTGAGCCAGGCCCGCGTGTGCAAGCCCCCCGGTAAGCGCCTGCTGCCCCCCACCCAGCCTCGGCTGCTCAAGGCCCCTCTGTGCGCTGCTGGGAGCAGCTGACCCATGGGGGGCCGGGGGGGCTGCCAGCTGCCGATCGCCCTGCTCTGCGTGAGCCCGGAGAGAAGGGAGCGTGTGTGTCGGGTGCACAAAGTGTCCTTGTGCCCTCCCAAGGGGGGTCCGTCCTCACTTCCTCCTCGCCCCCCTTGGCACCTTCTCCAGATGGCGTGCGGGGCCGCTGTGAATGGCCAAGTCAGGCAGAGGAGGGGGCCGGACTTCCCCTCCCACGTGAGGGCAGGCCGTGCCCCCGATAAATCCAGAGACGGGCGGAATCAGGCGGAACAGTAACTGTGTTCAGCCTCCCCGCCCGGGTCACAAAGGGGAAACTGAGGCACAAGCCCGAAAGCCTCTCCTTGGTCAGGGATGCAGCCCAAGGGCTCCAGCTCCAGTTAATTCCCGCGGTGGCCGCGTCCTGCGAGCGCTGCCCTCGGAGCGAGCTGGGGCCGGAGACTGTGAGCTTGTGGGTGTTAATAACCTCACAGCCCCCAGGCGGCCCGATTCAGCGCGTGCTCTTGAGCCCCCACTGGAGCGAGTGTCCAGGCGGCTGCGCCTGGGTCTCGGGGTCATTTGCTGGGGGTTCTCCTGTTTGGGGGTGTCTGGTCTCTCCAAGGGGGCCTGGGAGTCACGGCCACCGTCTCCTCTGCAGGGGACCGGCTGCGGCAGACGGAGAACCGCGCCACCCGCTGCAAAGTAGAACGGCTGCAGCTCCTGCTGCAGCAGAAGCGACTCCGCAGGAAGGCCCGGCGCGACGCCCGGGGCCCCTACCACTGGCCGCCCAGCCGCAAGGCCGGCCGCAGCGACAGCAGCAGCGGCGGCGGGGGCGGCGGCCCCAGTGAGGCCGCGGGCCTGGGCCTCGACTTCGAGGACTCCGTCTGGAAGCCCGAAGTCAACCCCGACATCAAGTCCGAGTTCGTGGTGGCCTAGGAACCGCGGCCCTCGCCCCAGCCCGGGTGGCCGCACGCCTCGCCCAGCGCAGGACGGCAGGCGGTGGTGGTGGCGCAGCCGGAGGCCCCTCCCTCCCTGGCCGCCCTCCTTCTGGTTTTCTTTTTCATTTCACTTCTTACCATGGTTTCCCGAACTCTCTGTGGACTTGCGTTCCTGCCTCCTCGGTTCAGCTCACACTTCCCCCCACTTCCTCCGTCACCCCATCCTCGCCTCCTGTCCCCGGCCCGCGCCCGCGCCGGGTCCCTCCCCGCCCACCTTCCCCAGCTCGAAATATGTAGCAGTCTTTCCAGATGGTTCAGCGGAGACGAGGAAGCCGCCCCCAGCCCTTCCGCTCCGCCGCCCTGCCGCCCTCCCTCACCCTCTTCAGGTTTAAGTTGAACATGTAGATGCCTCATTATGCACTTTACAGCCGAGGGGAGGGGGCCGCGGGGAGGAGAGCCCCCTGCACCCCGGCCTGGGCTCCCACACCCCACTCTCGGGAACTGCAGGTGCACCCAACCGACCAGGGACTGTTCCTCTTCACGTCTGTCCTCTTTTCTCTTCTTGGTTTTTCATTTCCACTTTCCTCTTTCCTGGAAAAGAAAAGGAAAAGCCCTTTCCGGGCAGAGGCTGGCCAGAGCCTGCTTGGGGTTCGGGTCGGGTGTGGGGCCCTTTCCTGGCAGGAAAGGGGGGCAGGGCGCAGGCCCGCCGCCAGCCTCCGCCGTCCGCGCACTGTGCGATTTCCTCCGACGCTGCCCCTCCTTTCTGAGCTGGGGGTATTTATAGACTATTAATTTTCTGACTGAGCCAATAGTGGTTGGGAATCTGTTGAAAATTCGGGAGAGAATTGGCTGGGGGGCGGGGGAGACGCCCCCAGCCCTCCTCCCGGCCCAACCTGAGGGATCTGGGCCTGTGGACTGTCTGGGGGCCCTCGGCCCGGCCGCCGGGAGTGGGGGGTGCTGAGCTGTGAAACCCCCGGCAGGGGCCACACTGTGTAGCATTAACCCCCTTGGGGGGGGTTCGCTGCTGGTCTAATTTGGACCCTCCCCCACTCATGCCCATGGTCCCCGGGGCAGAGGGACAGACCCCCTACTGGGGCCATTTCAGTGGGGGTGGAGTTTTTTTTTTTTTTTTTCATTCACTTTTATTTTTTACTGATAATGGAGATGTTTGGGCCCTGCCCCCCACCTGTCAAGTCTTGTCCTGGCCCCACCTGTCTGTCCTGCGCGACACCCCCCACGCCCTGCCTGTCCCCCTCCCCATCCTACTCGTAGGTGAACCCAGGTCCTCACCCCCCCCATTATATGTTAATGGTTTCAGATGTGAACATCATGTGTTAACTGTAGCTCTGTAAATTTTTTTGTGGGGGGGGTGGGCAGGGAGGGGTCAGAGGGTAGGGGTCAAGGATTTGTTTTTTTGTTTTTGTTTTCCAAAAAAAAAAAAAAAGAAAAAAGAGGCGGGTTTGTTTTTGAAGAACTGTCTTGGAGATCTATTTAAATGTGTGTTCTGTTTTTTTAACGATTTTTAAATAACGTCTGTGCCTCCGCGGGTCCAAGGGTGGAGGCCCCAGGCAGGAACCGGCCCGCCCCCCTCTGCCCTCCCCAGGGCCCCCTCCCCCAAGAAAGCATTACCCGCCCCCAGGGGTCGGGCTGTGGGGTGTCCCGGCACCTTGCGTGAGTTTACTGTGTGAAAACATAAAATTGGAAAAGAAAAAAACTTTCAGCGACACCGTGATTTCAAGGAATAAACAGAAAATGAAACTCAAGTGAATGTCCTGCCTGCTCGCCTGGGGAGGTCTTGGCCATCACAGAGGGGCCTCCCAGTTTGCTAGATGGTCTCACAACCACTTCAGGGAGTGGCCTGAGGGGCCTTTCCGAGGAGGAGCCTGGGACGGGATGCTGGGGTCCCCCACCATTTCAGGAAATGGGAGGTGGAAAGTGGGTCCTGGGGCGCCCCGTCAGGTGGTGGGGGTGCGTCCCAGAACAGTTCCCACGCCCCCTCCCCGGGTTGGGGTGAGGGTGGGCAGGAAGCCGCCTGGTGGGGGTGGGAGGGGCCGGCCACTTCCCAGTACCCAAGGCCGGAAGTCCTGCAGGGTGTGGGCACGGGGCTGCCCGCTTGCTCTGTGCCCTGGGTGGGGCCTTGCCCTCTCGGTTCCTGGCTCTGTGAAGTGGGCTGGGACTTGCCCACGGGACTTCGTCTCCAGGGAGACCTGGCCTCACGCTGTGGGCCTTGGTTTCCCCAGCCAAGGAGAGGGGGTGGCGGCTCCTACAGTCTGCCCACCTGCAGCACCAGCCGTGGGGGCACCACTTGGGTGGGCCCCTGACCAGAGCCCCTTCCCTCCCAGATGCCACCAGGGCCCCCCTACTAGGCCGCCAGGCCTCCACAGCCACCAATCCTCTCTGGCCCCGAGTCAAGCTGGGGGCCTGGGACTGGCGTTCAAGGCCTCCTGGCTTGGCCCGGCCCTGGGTGAACTCGGCCCCTCTCCCGCCTCACCCCAGCCTTGCATTCCAGCCCTCCCTGGCCCTGACCTGACCGTCAGGCTTCAAGCGGCCAGGCCTTTGCCCGGGCCTTGCCCTACCCAGCAACACCCCTCTCCCGCCGCCCCTGCTCGGCCTGGGAACTTCCTCCGTCTGTATCTCCCACCCCTGCCCGCCCGAGGGGCTCCCTGAGGGCCAGGCCAGGGGCGAGTCCTCTCTGGGGTCCCACCTCCACGCACTTGGGGCTGGGCAGAGACAGAACAATTGTAATAACACTTAATGCCATTTTACATGTATTTCCTCACTTAGCGAGCACCGCCACGGTAGAGTTAGAACTAATTCTACTCCCATTTGATGAGAAAACTGAGGTCCAGAGAGGAGGACTGGAGTTGTTTGTACAATTAGTGACAATCGGCCGCTTCCCGGGCCGATTTCTGATGGGCCAAGCCCTGGCTCCAGGGACCCCATGGAAAAGGGAGACAGGTACCTTCCGGGGAGTGTCCTGGAGGCCTCCTGCGGAGGCCCTTCTGCCCCTCCCGCCGCCCAGTCACCCCCAAATCATCGCACGCCCACGGCAGGTGGATAGGACATCCAGGTCAGGCTGACCCCTCCAGACCTCAGTGTGGGGGACGCGAACAGCCCCGCGGGGTCGGAGGCCCACACGGTGGAGGTGTGGGTGGGACAGCTCAGGTCGAGCCCCGCCCACGCAGCCGGGCCCGGGGTCAGGCCGAGGGCTGCGCGACCGGGGTGGCCGCCGCGGGACTGGGCGCGGGCTGCGGAGGGAGGTGTCGCCCGAGCACCTGCTGAATCACAGGGGCTGTGCCTGCGCTGCAGGGTGTGCGCTGCGGGGCGGGGGCCATGCCCTGCAGCCCGGAGCCCACCCCAGTCCGGGGTCCGAGGGTCACGGCCTGGCCCGGGGGTTCTGGGAAGACACCATCGGCTCCTCCCCCTGCGCGGGTCCGCAGCGCGCACACCTGCAGGGCGGTGGGGAGGGGGGCTCGGCCGAGCGGGCACAGCGGCCGGGGTCCGGGGCAGGCCGGGCCACGTGGGAGGGAGGCACAGAAAGGTAAACTGAGGCCGGGAGAGGGCGGGGACTGGGGGATCGCGGGGGCGGGGTCAGCCGTGCACAGCCCCCTTCCCCCATTGAGGAAAAGGCTGAATGGGAGGGAGGGGGCGGCCCCCGGAAACCCGCGGGGATGAAAACGCGGTTTCCAGGGCAACGCGCCGCGAAACGGGCCTGACGTCACCGCGAGGCGGGCGCTCCGCCCGCCCCGGCCGCGCGTCAGAAGGCACAGGCCCCGCCCACCCCACCCGCGGACGTCTCATTGGTGGCCGCGCCTTTCGCTCCTCCGCGCACACCAATAGCAGCGCCGGGTTGCCACCCGGAGGGGGTGCTGCGGCGTGGCCCGGCTGAGTGCGCAAGCGCGGCGCGGAGGCGTGCCCCCCTCCACCCCCCCCCCTCAGCTGCTGGTTCGCAAGCTTGGGGGCGGGAGGCACGCCGAGGGTCTGACGGCGGCCGCGCCGGGACGGAAGAGGGGGTGTAGCTGAGGGTGCCGCACCTGGACCCCCCCCTCCCAGTACCGGCGCGCTCACGTGCACCGGTCTTCCACGTCCGAGCATTGCCCGCTGCCCCTTCCCCACGGCCGCGTGTGCGCGACCCCCGGGGTGGGAGAGCGCTGCAGCCCCCGGGATGGAGGAGGGCACTTGGACTGAGGCTTTGCCGAAGGAATAGGAGTTGGCCAAGTGTAGGAAGAGGGGCCCCAGCTGGGGGACACGGTGTGTGCAAAGGCCCTGAGACCGGAAAGCGGATGCATGGGGGGTGGCAGCCGGGAAGCCAGGTGGGGAGGATGAGGAAAAGGCGAAGGCAGGGACCCTGGAGGAGCAGGTGGAGAGAGCAGAGGCCAGAGCATCCAGGAGGTGGCTGGACGCCCTGCCTGGGCTTAGGAGCTGGCCTGAGGTGGGCCAGAGAGGCATCTCCCCTCTGGTTCACAGCGAGGTGGTGGGCAGGGGCCTGCAGGGAGCTGGGAACCTGGAGGGAGGAGAGAGAGTTGCAGATGCCCCTATGAGCCCCTGGCCAGCCTCTGGGCCAGGGGCAAGAAGAGATGAGGACCCGGGGGAGAGATAAGGGCACCAGGAAGTCCACTGCGGCCTGGCTGTGGCTCAGTTTTCCTCTGTCCACGCAAAGAAGGCAGCAGTCAGCGTGAACAGCAGTGGCTTTGCCACGTGGGGACGAGGGGAGCCCCAGCCTGGGCAGAGGGCTCGAGACTGAGGCAAGGGTCAGGGCTGGCGCTGTGGACACGCCTGCAGCCCAGGCTGGAGGCCTGGGTCCCAGTGGTGGCTCACAGGTGGGCCGCGCTCCTGGGGTGATAAGGCAGCTGTGGGCGGACAGGAGAAGGTCACTGGGGTCACAGCTTTCTGCTTGAGGTCAGAATCCCCCGGGCGTGGCCAAATGGGTAATTGGGGCTGACTTCAGGTTTCTGAAATGCCAAAGGCCGCGCTCAGGGGGTGGCTTGGGGTGGACAGCAGGGAGGAGCCAGGCCCCTGGCCGGGAGCCAGCAGGGGAGCTGGGAGTGAGCGCTGCCCTGGCTGGCCAGCTTCTGCACCCCCAGCACTGGGCAGGTGCCCTGGGCACAGCCGCCCCCACCTGCCTTCCTCTCCAGGCACCTTGGGAACAGGAGTTACCACGCCACTGCGGCCAAGGGCGCTGGGGCCCAACCCAGGAGTCTTGACTCCAGCCCCACCCACGGCCGCCCAGCCCTGGGAGGGCAGAGGACAGGCAGCCTCTAGTGTCACTAGGGCCAGGTGAGCAGCCCAGCCCGTGGGTGGGGGCGGGGCCGCTGTCACCTGGGGCCCTGCCTGGGCGACTGTCCTCCCACTGGGCCTCTGTCCCCCGCCATGTCTGCCTACCCCTCTGTCAAGTTCTCTTCTCCGTGCCCTTCTCTCTGTTTCTCTTTCTTTTTGTCCCCTTAGTCTCCGGGCCAGTCACTATTTCGCTCTGGGTCTCCATCTCTCTCTGGCCGCCTCCCTCTATTTTCGTCCGTCTCTGTCCCGCCGGCTCCTCCCCCGCCCCTCCCCCACTTCCGCCCCCTCCCCCACCCCGGCGCGCATTCCAGCCTCCACCCCGCCTCCCGCCCTTCCCTGGGGCCAGCTGCTGCTGCGTTGGGTGCCCAGGACGCAGGGAGTGGGCTTGCAAGGGGGTCAGAGGTCGAGAGCCGGCTGTGGGGGCCGGGGAGGGCACCCCCTGACCCCTCTGGAATGTGGGCGGGGTCCCCCGGGGGCAGGCGGAGCTGAGGGCCGAGACAGCTGGCTACAACTGCATTGCACACACCCCACACCCCAGACGCTGCCCGCAGGCCTGGAGAATCAACACAGCCCCAGACTGCCTCACAGGGCCCCTTAGAGCCCCAGACACACACCAAGGCGCAGACAGCCCTCAACAGTAAGCAGGTCGATACCAGTCGCCCCCTGAAGGCTGGGCTCCTGGCTCTGCAGCACCCCCACGCAGACACACCCCAAACCGGCCCCAGCCCACACTTTGCCACCATCACGACCTCAATCGACTGTGCGACCCTTGAAACGAACGGCGCCCCTGTTCTCACCCCGGGCCAAGACCTCCCATTAGAAAACCACAAAATTGAAAGTCACACCCGGCAGCCCGGACTCACATCCTCGGAGGCGCTGTGCCAACCCGAGGCAGCACGCTCCCCCAGCACGCCCCGTTGCTCTGGCCGCAGACACTGCCCACACGCCCATCACGTCCTCCTGGCTGCAGGCTCCCCCAGAGCGGAGCCCGGCTGATCTGAGCGGTGACAGGTGCAGGGGGGTGTGCACGCCCTCACTGCTCCATGGCTGTTGGGGACATGAAGAAGGGGGCCTTCTTTATGCTCACACACAATTCTCTGTGTGTCCTGCGACACCAGGAAAGATAAAAATGAAGAGCCAGGAGCTTCTCCTGTCACTGGCTGTCCTTCCCTCCCACACACTGACCCCAGGAAGTGCCGCTGCTATGCCCACT